CCAGTTTCCACTAACACATGGCGCACCCTAGCCAATGACGACCCCTGTAGAGGCAGATAACTTAACCTTGTTTTCTTTTCAAAGTGAAACGTTCACGATCACATTCGAGCCCCAACTGATGGATGATAATTGAATGAACTGAATGATTGAATTTTGAAGAAAAACTTTTGGTTTTTAAAAATATTATCTTAGCTCCTTGAGTATGAGAGTTTTGTGCGAGTAATTTGCTGCTACATCATTTATCAGTTTAAATGGACTAGAAACTTTTCATTGATCAGCTCATTTACGGCTCATCGAATAAAAAAAGTAAACTATTTAGAATACGCGTGCTGACCACATAAACACTTTCATTAAGTAGGAATCAGTTATTAAAAATAATGAACTTCCAAGCTGTTTTGGCATGAAATATTTGTCAATTCTGAGCTGTAACTTTCGAACTATACTACAAATTGTATCGCGACACTCAAGGTCACGCCAATTAAAACGGTGATAGAAGGAAACTGAGAACATTACAGTGAGAAATAAAGTTCAGAATAAATACTATTCATTCCTAGATATAAGTATACACAAGTATGATATTGGTAAATGAAATGTATTTGCAATATAATGTAATGCTTTTTACTTCTTCCTTTATTTATTGAATGTACACCTAACATTCAGGAAAGGGGGCCGCTGCCATACAAGGGCTGCCTGGGAAGACGGTCGGTGGTGGAGCAATTCGAACCCGGGATTCGCAGATCACAGGTTGATGGCCTAACCACTTGGCCAACATCACCCAGAACGAGTGTCATGTTACACGTATTCGATCAATACCAGTAACTTTAAACATTTTATTCCGCTTGTATTTCACACAACGACATTTTCAATAAATGTTAATCGGCATAGCGTTTTCAATGTCATTATCAATATTACTTTTATTTTTAACATCATCATCATCATCATCATCATCATCATCATCATCATCATCATCATCGTCATCTTCATCATCTTGATCCAAATACTGGCTTACTGTAGCCTGTACGGCAACATTCGACTCGTACAACCGTGTCTCATCCGGTGTCTGATCCATCTGTTCCAGTTGGACACGAAACGCTTGTTTTGTGGCCACCACGCGATCCAGTCGTTCTTCAACTTCAGTAAGCTCATCCGCAAGAGCGGTTGTGATCGGTTGGAGGAGAGTTTTCAGATTTTCCATTGTCTCTCGAATCTGTTCCACGGCACCATCTTTGTCGCAAAGATCTTGGAGACTGGAATAGACACTCTGCAATCAGAGAACGAACCCACACGGATTAT